CATAAATCACCGCATTCATGGGCGGTATTTATCGTGGACTTCTGTCGCCCCTCAAATCGATCAAAGACACTCCGTCAATCTCCCTGCCCGGCGCCATGCACATCCGACACATTCATTCGCACTTCGCACGGTGTTCCAACAGTGCTACCTCTCACACCTCCTAAACACTCTCGCGAATGTCTCCTCCGACGACCTCCCCCGAAGAGTGCACTCGTCGACTAGACACAACGACTTGTAAAAGGCGAACCTAGAACCCCTATTTTTCCTACTCCTTTGTATTCCCTAACAATCCCATTTAGACAAACTCAATCCACAAAAGTTTCCCCCTTTTATATGACAACTATGGGACGTCTCTGGTCACAATCTCTCAAACCCAAATTGGACGACCACCACGTTCAGTCCGGAGGATTAAAGGGACCATCTCGGATGAGCAAACTGCAACGGCCATTAGACCGCTCAACACGCGGAGTCAAATACTTGTATCTAGGTCTATGTAAAAAGAGGGATAAACTCGCCACCCGATTCTCGTCTCTCACCCAACCTACGATTATCGTGGATAAATATCACACACGGTGTCCATCAGCCGGGTTCCTTCGAATAAGAGGAGATCATTGCCACCGCCTAATCGTTTCACATAAATTGCCAATTTTGACTTTTGCACGACACACTCCGAATGCTCAACCAGGCACTCCCATTACTCCCGCGCTCCGTCCCCCCCCTCCCCCTCCCCCGCCACCAACGCCCAGACCCCACCCCTCACGGGGGCGCCCCCCCTGCTCAGATCTGTCTGTAGGGGGGGGGGGGCGGGGGTGAGGTGGGTACAAACTAAAACGGTATCCTAGACCAATGGAAAGCCTATCCACATCATGAGAACTTACACCTATGAATACAATCGTAAACACTCATACCTATCCATCCTAACCTCGTTAAATTTTTGATCCATGACACGGTGCCAGGTGTTAACGCCAAATGTTAGTCGTCTCGCTCATCCACTTTTGACGACGCCTCGCGACTCTCGACGATGACCGTCTACTTTTACACGCATTGTCGTGTCCCGCCAGGCGAACCGACCACAAAACGGGCAACTCTACCAGCAGCCTCGACGTGCTCCAGAGCTAATAGCTCTAACCACTTTCACACCACACTAACAACCCCCCCCCCCCC